TAATCAAACACGCTGTCTCAAATTCCTTTTGGACCCAGTCTCCGATGCTCTCAAGCTGCCCAGAGGCAAGGGATAGAACTCACCCACCCTTCCCATTTGTCTTGCTGTTGTCTCTTTTTTATGTATAAATGGCCACCGCGGTACTATGTCATGACTGGCATTGCCATTAAAACAGTTATAATGGCTACTTTAGCATCACCGGAAGTTACCATAGTAAAATTATTCGGTTTCTGTATAAGCATAACAATCCTCCATTTTGGACATCTGTGGGATGAAATAAATTTTATAAACTCTAACCCGATGACGGTAAAATGAACTTGTATCACTTTTAACATCTGTATATATATATGTGAAACAAACCTAAACATTTTACCAATATATCTTTTATTCCGAACGCTTTGTATGTTTTTCATTCAGCGAATTTCTAACATAAATCTATAGGTTTTAGGTATCGATGACGAAGCAAAACCTGTTTTATATAAAACGTTCTAACTCTATATACCATTTAAAGTTACTATCCCACATATTGTAGTATTGGCGTTTTTGAAATAAAATGTCAACAAAAGATAAAATTTCACCGTAGACTCGTACATTTACATACAGTATAACTAGATGATTAATACATAACTTATCCGAAGAAAAACACCCATATAAGAAAAGTGTTTGCTATGTTTTTGATGCTGTAATTTTAAAACGTAGCAACGTTTTTTTTTAATATTGACTTAATTTATACACACAACCATTAACTGTTGGCAAGTAGATCCGTTGGTTTCGGGTAGAACAGTTGTGCGCTTGGTATTGTTTTATCCTACAATCGATTGCTGCACAATATATCATAGACACATTTGTCTTGTTTGTTTGTTTGTGTCATTTAACGCCTTTTCCCAACAGTATTTTAGTCATATAGGCGGGTAGTTTCCTAACCATCGTTCCCGGAGAGTTACACCAGTACTAGACTACCTTCCTCCGCGCTTAACTACCAAAGCATCTCCCGGGGATCGAACCCACGCCAGAGAGGTTACTGGATTAGAAGTCATCGAGTCTAACCCCTCGACCACGGAGACGGTCACATTTGTCTTAAAAAGAGACAAAAAGAACATATATCGGTGATCCGGAGTAAAACTGACATTGATATACTAGTAAGTTTTACCTGCATCAAGCTGTCCTACTCGCAACATGTTCACAATTCTGATAAAACTGTTGTTTATATCTGTGTCAAGTGAAACATAACAACCGTTAGGTCACGGTGGCTCCGTGAAAACTGCAAATTTTACTTCTATGCATATTTAATAACTGTTAACACATAAGTAGACCCGTTTTGTGTGGAAGAGAAGGTTTAATTACCAGTCATGACGAAAACTTTTATGCAAAACATAAATATAATAAGTTTAACATATGGTTCGTTCATCATTATTATTTGATCTGTAAAGTGACTTAGTTCAATGTTGCATATTATTGGCAATATTTTTGTCAGTTGCGCCTGAAATTACAAAGGTACATGGAATTAAAAAGGTAAGTCCAAAATAATTCGTTTTTATAAATTATATCATGGTACCAGTAAACACACTTTCCATTGAGAATGGTAATGCAACATCATGACAGAACACGAACTTTTTGGGACAGAAACGTGTATCACTACGATGCACACCTTAAAAATTAAACATCCAAGTATTTTTGCACGTTCATGAAATATTCTGAGAAGACCTTCTGATTAATTATTTATTTGAAACATTATCAGGATGTAACACAAGCTATATACAATACTACAACGTGTGAGGTATCAATTGGAATATTCACTGCCGTTTTATCTCATTTTGAGAAGCGCACTGTTTTATAGTACAAACTTGCCTTTATATTCATTTGAAATTATTGCCCTTTGTAATTTTACAATTGTTTCCTCCGACCAAAACTCAAAAATGTTATAGATATCATCTTGAAATTTCATACAGTGATTTATCATAAAAAGGGACCTATTTTGTATTTGAACCATAAGTCTCTTTTGTATAATTTAAATGACCATCTTTGGTATTTCCTATCCATTTTTTTTCTTTGGGGAAGGAGGAGGGGTCATGAATCTAGATGTGCTTTAGGTATTAACATTAAAGAGTGATACAGTGTATAGGAACTGTAACACAACACAACATTTGAATGGAATTGTAACACTACATCATGTACATTTGAATGCAATGTTTATGCTTTAAGATAAATAATTCTAAGAATCGTCTATTAAGTGGTTATATAATTTGACATGGGATATCAATTCAACTGAACAATTTGATAATGTAAACTTTTATCCCTTACGTTATTGTACACTGGTAATATTGAGATACTTCTTTCATGGACAACATTTTTGAAACAAACACCTTTCATTACCTTCACATCGAATAGAAGAAAAAAACACGAAATTCTCATTGGTTACATTTATTTCAGATAGTTTATATGCAAATCTAATGATGAACTAAATAGCATATCGTATACTTGTATGTCATAAAAGTACAAAATGGCTTTAGTGGTAAAATATTAAGAAACTTTACATTCGACTGTCAAATTATAAAGAAAATACAAACAACATGGCAAAACATGTCATACATAATTGTACACTTAATTAGGATTAGTTAAAATCTTGTCTTTGTCACTATTTTCAAATAAAAGAGTTTACAGACAACATTTTCAGATTTTACTGCGTGAAAGGCAAAATTTAGTTTGATGAAAGTGTGAAAATAAAACAAAATAAAATAAAAAAACCTGTTACCGACTAATTAGCTAAAATAAGTTAAAGTAGGGAAAGGAGACATTCAAAGAAAGCATCTTCCAACAAAGTCAGAGACACAGGATAACCGGCAAGGCGCCAAGCAGAAAACCAAACAAAGCAAGAAAGGCGTAGCACGGACGGGCGTTATTGTAATAAACAATACAATAATGGAACTGATAGGAAATCAGTAAAAACATTTAAAACAATAACCTGCAAAGCATCTCCTGTTTGATGTCATGGTAGCGTTAATATTACGTATACTCCCTATTGATTTTCATTTAAACAATCTTATAAACTTTTTCAAGCGTTCTAAAATATGTGCATAATTGACTGGTCAATATATTTTAAAAGAAAAGGAGTATTGAAACGCCTTTAAAACTAGTTTTATGTTTTACAAAAAGTCATTCTGACTTTTATATTACTTTCAAGCTTTATGACTGAAGTGACGGTTATGTTAATGTGCTGTTATTTTGAATGCCATATAAAGTCAGATCATGGCTTTAATCTTTTAAAAGAATCATTTAGTGATACACCACCCACCTTGAAGAAAAAAATGTTTTGTTTTTGTTCTTCTAAACAAAATTTAGATATCATGTGGCAGATCACATAAAAGTATAATAAATGTTACCATGTACCATTTTTGTTGCATGCAATTTACATTCTTAAAAAGCTAAAATTATAATCTTACTGAAACACACAAGCGCGCACACACACCAATACACGCACGCATTCTCACACACACACATTATTCAACTGATACATGTACACACCATTTTATAATGCATTGACTAAAAATTGCGCAAAAATAACTCGTATAATGAAATGAAATAACATGTATAATAAAATAGAATGTAATATCTCATTTTGGTTAACATAGATACTGGCTTATATAATAAAGCTAAAATACGGACTTTGCTGCGATGTCTTATATGTTTTAAGTGGAAATATAACGGATAAAATAAAGCAAGATTGGTAACATTATATGATTAAATATTCTACTATGTTCATGCAACCCTTTTACAACAATTTTAAAAAGCCAAAATTATAATTTGACTGAACACATACCCATCCGTACACGCAGGCACGCGTACTAAAGCAAGCGTGCGCGCGCATAACACATACACGCACGCACGAACATGCGCGCATACACACACTTTATTTAATAGATACGAACCATTTTGAATGCATGTTAAATCATGCAGTGTCTAAACAATAGGCAAATAAAAACTAGAAGGAAATGGGATGTTATATCTTATTTTGGTTAACATGAATACTGGCTTATAACAAAGATATATTGAGGTATTTTTGTAAGGGCGTGAAATGTATACATATTTTAAGAAAAACATTTTTTTAAATATCCAGCTGTTACATTTCGATTGCAATGCTAATATTTTGAATTAGCAAAACATAAAGTTATTACATGTATGTAATATCTTATTGTGCTTAACATGAATACTGGATGATGCAATAAAGATAAACTGAGGTCTTTGCTGTGAGGTCGTATATATTTTAAGTAGAAAAATAACAGGTAATATAAAGTAAGATGGATAACACAAAATTGAAACAAAACATTCTACTATGCTATCATATAGCATGTAACGCTATCACAATATACAATTTTAAAAAGTTAAATTTATTATCTGATTGAAACACACATACCCAACCATACATGCATACACGAAGGCGAACGAAAGCAAGCGTGCGTGGGCACATACACACACGCACAAACATGCACGCATACATACACACACGTGCGAACAGGCATGTTTACACACAATACACACTTCATTTAATAGATACGAACCATTTTGAATGTAATTTAGAATCATGCTATGCATAAACAATAAGCAAATAAAAACTATTAGGAAATTAAATGTAATATCTTATTTTGCTTAACATGAATACTGGCTGATAAAATAAAAATAAACTGAGGTCTTTGCTGTGAGGTCGTATATATTTTAATTAGAAAAATAAAAATAGCAGATTATATAAAGAAAGATGGGTAACAATAAATTAAAAAAAACATTCTACTATGCTATCAAAAAACATTCTACCATGCTATAATTTTATAGCATGTAACGCTATCACAATATACAATTCAAAAAAGTTAAAATAATTATCTAATTGAAACACACATACCCAACCATACATTCATACACGCAGGCGCGCCTACACAAGCAAGCGTGCGCGCACACAGAAAGAAGAACATGCATGCATACACACACACTTCATTTAATCGGTACGAACCATTTTGAATGCATGTTAAATCATGCAGTGGCTTAACAATAAGCAAATAAAAACTATAAAATGAAATTGAATGTAATATCTTATTCTGGTTAACATGAATACTGGCTAAAATTAAAAAAAAGATAAATAGAGGTCTTTTTGTGAGGACGTGAAATGTAAATATATTTTAAGGAAAAATATATTCTTTTTTTTCAATATCTAGATATTACATTTTGATTACAATTTTAATATTTTGAAGAAGCAAAACATAAAATTATAATAATATCTAAAGTTTGAATATCAGATAGGTTAGCAAATTGAAATTGTGTTACATATCTTTATCAACACTATCTTTAAAACAAAATAATGAGAAAATTTCTTTTCAATCACTATTGGAAGCACAATCTGTCAGATGATAAGATTCTATATCTAGTCTAACGTCTATATATGTCATTTACACAAGCACGCGTATATGGAGTATGTATTTTACTACAAACAAATATTTGTAATGTGTTTTTTTCCATCTTTTTATACAACAATCTTGTAGATGTAGAAGTTTAGAGGTTCTGGTAAACGTCTGTACGCTTGATGTGATCCATCATCAGATCAAAACAAAACTTGTACTGCTCCTTTATTGAATAGAGAAAATGATAGGACAGTGTAAACCAAACATTAATTTATCATTTTAATATGTTCAAAGCTATATGTAATGAACTTTTTTTATAAAATTCATTAAGTGTAACCTGACGTTGTTTTATTATCTTATTATATAAATGGTGGTAGCTTAAAATGCCCCTGTTATTACAAAACGTGAATATAGCAAATAAACATAATAAATGTTCACTTTTTGTTTACTTTTTAAGTCTATATGAACTGTAAGAGACCCAAAAAGTAACCCCCAGTACGGGGACATTTTAACTTAATGATATACATGTACAATATTATTTTGTAGATGCCAAAAATGTAATGCTATATGTCATATATATTAGGTCTGGGCATTGTGCTTCCGACAAAGTTCTAAAATATATTTTCTTAGATATGTCTATCTTAGCTCTGTGACACTAGGGACTGAGCCCATATTGGGTTTGACTAATGTAGCGGTTGAAAGGGCAACGCTACTGGTCAATTATCTAAGCGTATAACATATTAGTTTCATATAGTAATACTTGAATATGTTTTAATATAAATTATTATCAAGTTCTCCCCAAGGTAGAACCACATTCGATCTGAGGAAACGCTAATCTGCGTTCTAGATTTCCTGATTATATTGGATCAAAAGAGACAAAGCGGAAACGGCAATTTTAAGTTACATTAACATTAACACGAGAAAGATCACAACTGCGTTATACATATCATTTTATTACGGTAAACATTTCTGGTTCAACGTTGTTTCAAAAGATACAGGGCGGACACAAAATTGCTAGCAGACTGACGGACGACTTGTTCCTTACATTATAAATTTGTTCGGGTATAAAATCTTTACATATTATACAGTCATGTCAATTTTAAATGGATGGTATTAAAAAGTATCTTACATAACTTCCAATCAGATGCCTTTGTCGTTTTTTAATCATTTTAACAGACTCTACAATGTTAACGTGGCCTCCTTCATATTTAATCCTCTGAAGCTCGTTCAGGAGCACACAAACTATACCAGATCTTGTACAACCGTCACTGTAAGATTTACAACTAATATGCAGCAAACATAAAAAAGACTTCATTAATGAAACATGAAAATGACATTTATATAAACTAGGTAAGCATTACAAAAGTCATACGCAGTACAGGCATAATATGAAAGTGTAATAAGTAATAAGAAATTAATACTAGTAAATCGAACTCATGCTAGATTTCAGAAGAGTGGTATTGTGCACCATTACTTGAGCTTTATTTCAATAGAAAAGTTCGCTTTATTTTGACGTGAAATGCCTAATGATAGTATAATTGAACATTATATACCCGCAAAAAACAAGTACAGGCTGTGACTCGGACAAATGCGGCTGCCATTTTAAGACGGCTTCTATCATATCCAGGAATGAGGTTGTGTCACCTGGAGACGGGTATCCATTTTTCCAAGCTGTGTATTCAAACTGCTTCACCGTTGTTAGATAGTCTTCTTCCTGAGGATATAAGGTATACATTAATCTTCCGATATGTTCTTAATCCAACATTTGCAATAAATGATGCTTTCTGAAATTTCTTGCCCAAATATCAATTTCTTGGAGCGTTTTATATCCAAATAATAATTATGTTAGGGAAGATTTATCTTAGTATTGTTTAAAATATTAAATTTCATATTCAAACATTAACGAATCGATATTTTATTAAATACTAAAATATTATCTTAAATGATGTTAACGTGAAAATATGGTTGCATATGTATGTCTTGAGTGTTTGACGATGACAAAAACTATTACCTCTCTGCCACTTTCCTTAAAGGTGAAGGTTCTCTGTGTGTAACCCTTTCTTATTTTCTCCTCTTTCTTGTTAACACTAAAAATGCTTTCGCCTTTAGAAGTCGAACCTAGTTCACAGCTTGACTTAAATTATAAAGAGTAAGCTTACTTTATATATAGTCTACATTATAAAATTGATAAAAGTAAAAATAGACTGCAAGTTTCATTATATATCCTGTATGTTTTAATTAAGGATGTAACAGCACTTAAGTGAAATTTTATACATGTACATAATTAATTTTCCTAAAACAATTTCCAAACATCAAAGAATATGTTAAATATATACTGCAAATGTTTATCGTATTACTAGTTATCATTAAAATCTACGCATCTTCCGACTAACAAATTAGGCTTAGACTTTATCGAAAATAGATTTCTAATTACCTCCCTTTATTTAAATGATATGTTAATTCGATAATATCTTTGCAAATAATGTGTTTTTGAACTTACAATATTGATACATCTCTATTTGAGCATGAGAGTTATAAAATAAAACCATAAAAATTGAGTTACAGGACCTTTAAGGTTTCGTAAAAGCTTATTAAAAGGCAAACCCAAATTGTTTGAGTTTATAAAATAAGATTGATAGTTTATTCATCAAACATTCCAAAATTCCATTTAAAGATAATTTTCTTTTAAAACAGATTCAGTGCATTTGAATACATGCATGCAAACTTAAGGTAATAAATCATTAACTCATTTAAAGTAAAAAAAAACCATCTTACAATGTATTGAACGATTAATGCTACTAAATGACATTCGATTTTCAAATGATATGTATATCTCCACATAACCAACAATGTAAAACATATATTTTTTATGCAGAATAGCTTAAGAATATTGTACAAATATAAAGAAAGAATTTAAACCTGATAGCATGGAGATGACTGTTCTGTAAGCATTATAACTGTCTTGATGTTGTTGTCGTCAACGAGAGACCAAAACTCTTCCATTGTATCTTTATCTGGTGACATTGACACAAGAAATGTGCTCTTTCCCTTGTAATTCTAGGTAAAATTAAAAAAAGTTAAATTTAATAACTGTCATTGCATAATGATAATATCAAGGTCTCAGTAATAACCAAGCAAAAAAAAACAAACAAATTACAATGTAGTTTTAACGTTTACAGTTTAACCACCACATTTTATGTTGAATAGTAAAAAGATATGAGCCGCTTCACGACAAAACCAACATAGTGCGTTTGCGAGCAGCATGGATCCAGACCAGCCTGCGCATCCGCGCAGTCTGATCAGGAGCTATGCTGTTCGCTTACAAACCCTATAACAAGTAGAGAAACTGATAGCGAACATCATGGATCCTGATCAGACTGCGCAGATGCGCAGGCTGGTCTCGCAAACGCATAACGTATGGTTTGTCGTGACGCAGCTCATTTTATGTAACTGTTGAATTCAATAATAAGATCTTACAGGGATATACATGGCACGCAACTGCTGTACAAATTTTGACCCTCTATTCTTCAATTTCGGCCTGTACGCATCGCCTGAAAAGAGCAATGGTGCGAGTGTTTGATGTATGCACATGATCGGTTTTCTTAGTTAAAGTGAGCAATAATATTTCCTAGCATTCTAAAACATGTAAAAAGTATGAAATTATGTCGAATTCCATTTTTTTTTTTTTTTTTGATGACCTTGGGTTAAAATCATGTCCATCAGTTGGGAGAAGATCTTAACACAAATATTGTAAGATTGTTATTTAAAAGACAACAATACAAATATACAAATGTTACTTTATACAATCAGGTACATAATTCCTAAAAAAGTAAAAATTGTTATACTTTCTGACAAAAGTGTCTCAACATTAGAATATTCCGGACTTTCTGAAATTTCTGACGTAGAATTCACCACACTTTCTTCTATAAGCTGAAATTTGTTAAAAGATATATGAGAATTTGACTATAGAATTGTCAAAATATTATTCAAAATATTTTTTTTAACAGAAGAGTCATCGAATGGAACAATGTTTTATTGTTTTATTTATTAGTGTTATTTTACTGTTTTCGTTTTGAACATCTATAGAAGAGATTACAGTCAGACACAGATGCATTTTGATCATGTTAAATAACAATGAAGTATGTACTATATGAAAAATAAGAAGGGTTATCTGGTACACTGTAATTAATATTGTTCATAAATCTATCCACCTCAAACTGTATCTGTAGTCTTGTTTTCGTGTTATTCTTCTCATTCTGTGTCATAAATGATAGAACGTCACCAAACTGCTTGGTCCACACAATGTGGGTTCCAAACAACATGGCATCAGCAACAGCTTCATGCAGGTAGACATACTGCTCCTACAGTTGTTGGTATATAATTTGAAATATATTAATTGTTAAACATATCAAATAAGGAACCAGTCGTTTTCACTTATTTGTAATGTTTATGCATCAGAAATTTACATTATTTAAACTTTTAGAAATGTCAAACATGTATTTAATAATGTTTACATGATGGTAAAAGAGCATGTTAGACGTTAAACAACTGGCAGAAGAAGCGCTGAACATGCAGTCACGTGTCGTGAAGGTAAATGTTAACAAAACGTATTTTGACTTCCATATAAAATACTACACATGTATTTCACTATAATTATACTTATTGCCAACGTAGCTAAAGATGTAGCAAATCAGTATTTTTTGGAACTGTAACAAGATACCAACATTTTTTTTTGAGAAATAAAAATATAGCACGTCTGAGGCATAATGGACCTTAAAGAAAATATTTTTTATAATCTATGTTTCCAGTACACAAAACGTTCGTAGACATAACAGTACATGCTCTCGTCAACGGTAATAGATAATTTTAATAATGTTTGAATCTTAAACACAATTTGTGGTTCACATTATAGCGAAACCTTATCATACCGCTCTCTCGGCATCCATTGGACACTTTTTTTGTGAACTGAAGCAATAACAAATTAATTTTTTGCTCAAGTCAATGACAAGAATTCTCTTACTCGAAACATTTCCAACATAAAATGAGTGTACTACCATTAGACTATTGCTTACCACAGCTAATAGCAGCTTGATATGTGCATTGATTACATTATTTTCGATAATGATTGAAGCAGGAAAGGAAGCATTATGTTACTTTATCAAATATTTGATCGTTATTCAATTATTGTCAAAATAAAACCAACCTTTGTCTGGACCATATTAACTCTTTGCTGTCTCAAAGTCTGTACAACCTGTAATGGTCTCACAAAACCTTCAACACGCGCTTGATTCACCATATTGTCAAGACCAATAAATGTTCCAGTTCTCCCAACTCCAGCCCTTGCAAAAAGCAATATCTTAGTTATTAATAGTAAATTATATATTATTTTGGGAGCTTGTGTACTTTTGCGTACTTTTACGTAACTTAGTAACTAAGTGAAGGAATATTCATACGTTTAATAATGGGAAAAGAACCTGTTTGATTCTGTTTAGACAATATGAGGATATTATACGTTGTTGAGTTCAATACGGACCTTCAATAGTGGATAAATACACAGCTGATAAAGCTATATTGGACGTGGCACTAGCCGAATCTAGTAAAGGTTTAACAGATGTGTACGATTTCAAAAGAATCAGCCTGTTTCACAACAATGTATAATGAACTCTCCACTCAACAACACTTTAACACAAACATATATATGGACACTTTGGATTAGGAATATGAAAACGAAGCTACATGGAGTACAATATGCATTTACTACTGATTTCTTGCACTAGGGAAATAAAACCTTGCTTAATAGATATGTTGGATTCAATTATGATCTTTATTGCAGCATTATGTGGTGCAAATGCCGCATGTTAATTGGTTCAATTTAGTTACTGTGTAAAATAAATGATTTTATTTGATTATTGAATAATTGTTGATATATGTATTAAGGATAAAATATGTTAATTACTATGAAAAAAAAAATCATTTACTACATGCTTTGCGACAGATAGTAAAAATAACTTGGATCATTTCACATTGAAGTGATCAAAACATGATTTCATTGATGCCAAACTTTATTTGAATACATATGAAAGAAATATCATAAATGAATGACTATTTCATTAGAAATACACGTCGCCGTAAATAATATCTGTGTAAATCAACGGAAGTATCATGTCCATTTCAAATATCTATTAGAAACGATAGCATGCAATATTTGTTTACGTTTAATGTCTTTGTACATCATAATGTTATCTGCATGCAAACGTGTTGTGCATGTTTGACACAGCATGTCAGAAAAGTGTTAAAATTAACGAAATGTTCACATTATGATTTTTCAAATAATTTAATATTTGTAGACGCCATGACGTTACGCGGTAAAATTAGTCAGTCACACTTTATTTCACTAAATAGGCATATATGAAATATAAATTGTGTAAGATCAAATTATCTTTAAGTCGTGAGCTCCAGCTCAGGTGTTAAATGTTTACTCGTTGCTACGCCACTTGTGAAATTTTGATCACTGTGTAATATATACATGAAAATATGATAAATACTGGGATTACAAACTGAATCATATATTGTAATATTGATTTCGTGAAAATGAAATAAAAATGTAAAAATATGTTTATAAGTATACATACGAGCAATGAACAACTATAGGGCCTGCTTTAGAAATAGCATTGGTATCAACAACCCTCCAGAAGTTAACAAGACACCATGTACTATCAGGAACATCTTTGTCAGGCCAGGACTTGAAATGAAATTGACGAATTCTTCGTCTAGGTTCATCATTCTGTAAAACGTTACAAAGAATCTCAATATATCTTCAATATGAAATAAAAGTTGTAAGGGAATTATAAAATAGACAACACAGACAGGAACTAACGAATGCTATTTCCAATGAGTTGCTCATTTAAATACCAGGAACAATTTTAAATAAACCATGTGTTGCTTCACACTTCATCGGAAGCACAAGGACGGATTTAAAGCCCGAGTCTGCAATAATAGTTCGAGGGCTTCTGCAGATTTTATATTAATGCACGAAAAGAGTGCATTATGGATATTCTTGCATAACAAAAAGGATACAGTAATCCAAATCGATGTTGTTGTTTGTATTTCGAATATTAAAGAAACACGTGCAATGGCATTTAAGTGTTGATAACAAAACGACCAGGGCTGTTATGCATATAGAAATACGTGCACCAACGAACCGTAATCACGTGTATCTAGTAATTAGGAAATGTAATAATTTCGAGTGCATTGTTGTAGAATGATGCACGTTTTTCGGGTTCAAATGAGTTACCAAAGCATTAGAACGATAAACCGTATATTATTTCAAAAGTAAAATTGACATCTATTCAATTCTAACATGCTAATAGACTAATAATAAAAGAGAACTGAACAAAAAAAAAAAAACAAACAAACAAAAAAAGCCATGCTCAATTACAGTGTACATTGGTTGTAGAAGTAATTTTCCTGACGTCATTTGTTTTATTGAAATCATATCTGATTTTGCATGACGTATACATAAGCATTCTCGTTTTATGTTGTGCATGAACCGGGTAATATTTCACTTGATGGCATGCATTTGACAGGGGAATTGTTTGAAGCGTGTTATAATGCACAGTTTGTCTTGCGTTAATGTATATCTTTATGCAAGAATAAAGACTAGAAAATAGTTAACAGCACCTGTTTCGTTCATTTAGAGCATAAGTGGTCACTGCATTGGGCTGGATGTATTCTGATAATAATTTATGAATATTAGAATTCCCTTAATATATCACTGAACTTACCATACGGACCTCTAAATATCTAATATTGTAGTCAAGGAATGTCTCTGTATTCAGAAGCTTGACGATAACTTTGTCATAGGTACACTCGTTTCCTTGATCTTCGTTAGGCCAATACTGCATACACTTATTCTACAATATAAACAAGGGCAAATTGATCTAGTTAATAAATAGAGTCAGATGTATTATGTATTGTGTACATGTTTTTTTTACAAAGAGAGTATTAGCTTATGAAATGTATGTATTCATGTTAAAACTACAGTCTGGAGTTTACACACCAACTTAGATGATAAGAAGACAATAATTCTAACACTCCTTGTGATCTTGTCACTATAGACAAAGAAGAAGAAAACCGGTGTTAAACTGCACTTAAACACTGGTTGGGGATCACTATTATATGCGGCTGTTATGTTTTCTCCCTCGATTATATATTTTAAAAAGCCATTTAAAGCAATAATTAAATGATTTTATTTATATTTTCAGTTCTTATAATATTTTATTTTCATGCAATACCGAAATAATATCTCACATACACTAACGCCACGGATTTGATCCATATCAGTTAATAAATATTTTGACAAAACGGCGCCAATCCGGAAGCAGCGTCATTACGCCATCCTAAGTTCATTACTCATTCATAAACTCTGGCGTCATTTTATACAACCAAGAATGATAAATTGGGCACTGATGTAAACACAATACAATCCATTCTAAGACGTATGTTTTTTGTTGTTGAAAACTTGAGAAAATAACCTTTTTTCAATCATTTCTTCTGTTTAAGAATTTATACATCTTAGCAACAATATGGTGCGAAATCGAACAACGTTATACGAAAGTCGGCACCGGAAGATATTTCCGCTTGAACAAATAACATAAGTGATCTTCCCTATTTCATCTTGTTAGAATCGAAATAATATCGGTCTGAGCGGTGTTAATCGGCTATTTACAAATGTAACACAGGTTTTGTCGTTTTGATGCCAAAAAAAAAACAACAAAAAACACTCAGGCCTGCGACCTTCGTGGTCAATTCCTACCCATCAAAACCCATCAGACACCGCTAAGACCGATATTATTTCTTAAATAAACTTACCGTTCCCATTTCTATCAAGTTAGTTAGCATGACAATTTTATCTGATTTAAGCTGCCAAACCATCCGCCAGAAGTCGTCAATCATCTGTTTAGTTGCACCTTTGAAAAAAATTAAATTTTTAATCATTTTTATTTGATCTTGTTGCTGCATTCTTACTTAATTATTCATAACACATTTAAACGTTTAAAAATACTTAAATGAAGAAGTATGAAGCGAAGATAAAAGTTTTCATTATAAGTATATTAAAAATACCTTGTGATGCTACGAACTTTTTCACCTTTTCATAACCCTGTAAAAACAATAAATTAATGTATTAATAAATAACAATTCGATATACATGTATGTTCTTTTGAAACAAGTAACGTTTTTTGGAACGCTTTGTGCGTCGTGTTGGCCTAGCGACACAGGACAAAGCGACAAGCGGCGCGTTGTCGGACTTTCGTCTCTTTGTCCTGTCGCTAACGATGTACGCCAAACGGCGCGTTGTCGTGCGGCATGTTGTCACGATGTCACACTGTCGCTCGGTTCAAATCGAAGGATTGGCTTATAAGCCTTAGCGACAGGGCGACATATCGCGACAACGCGCTGTACGACAACGCCCCGTTTGGCGTGCTTCGCTTTGAGACAGGACGAACAGACGACAGCGCGACAAACGCGCCGTTTGGCGCTTTGTCGTGTTGTGCTAGCGACAACACGAAAAGGGCGATAACGATAAAGGTTGCGTTGTCGCTCCCGACAACGCTATGCACAATGTACCAAATTAGCCACCATAGATGACGGATGTTGTTTTCATTTTGACTATATAAAATCTAAATCTGATTTAAAAGTAGTCAACTAGAAAATCAAAACAGAACGGAATCGTTTCAGTTAATATGACCTCGGTACTTACCTAAATTGCTGTAAAATACTTTTTTGAAGAGTACTTACATCAATATAACAAGCGTTGATATAATCGGTATTTTTACCATCTTCTACGTCACTCAAAATAACACGTGTATGGTCATCTACGAGACGATAAAAACAAATTAAATAAAATAAATTAAAACAATACAAAACATTACAGGCATGAAGCAAGTTTTAGTGAATTCTGATACAAATAAAGAACGTTTATTAGAGAAAAAGCGAGTCTTAGTGAGGTCCGCTTCCCAGGGACGAATCAAATCTGAGGGAGGTCAGATTCCCAGAAAAGAAGCCAGTTTTCACGCAGTATGATTGCGAACAATGCCAGGAGGCGCTGCGTCTAGACTTTGCGGCAAGTCTATTACTGCAACGTGTCTTGATGTCTCAACCAGTCCAAGGAGCACAGAAAGTCTAGTTGGCACAGGAAGAGCAAATTGTGCAGCATGTCCAATAATTGCAGCTGTTCTTAAGCTGCAATAGTCACAAGTATCGCTCGGAATATCAATTAAAATCTCTAAATTGAAACCAAAACTTATTTTTACATAATTAATATGTTGATCACAAGGACTGGGTGATTTATTATAAGCATTTGAACGATAAACCTTGCACTATAATGCAAGAAAAAAAATATCTACTTCCATTCTAACGTTCTAATAAAAATAATTGATAAAACTATATCGAAGAAGTATTTTTCTTACGTCATTTGGTTGATTGACGTTATATCTGATACGTCATATCTGACGTCTTTTGACGTGTTATAATTTTTTTTTGTAAGCTGTGAATATATTGTGTTTTATAATGCACTGAACTAACCAAACTGTTTGATATGATAATGGTGTGAAGCGTGTGAATACACAAGAATATTCATAATAATTCTTTTGAAAAACGCCAAACTTACAGGCGTACATTTCCCTGTATCTATTTTTCCCTTTGTTTGCTATTTCATCTGCGGATTTATGGCTATGCACAAGACCATATGGTAATGTCTGGAATAAATAAGTAAAATAAAATAGTATTTCTTATCATATAATTTGACATTAACTATTCAGTCTAACTTGACACAAATGATAAAAGGCAAATTATACCTCGACACAAATAAAAGAATTGTTAAAGGTCACCTTCTTTAGAAATGGACAAAAGTTTCATTGTGTTTATGGGTTATAAAAATGCTGGATGCTTATCACCTGAAAAAAAGTCTTTAAATTTTCTATCTTAAAAATAGCAAAATCTAAACAAAGTAGTATTTTGACCGTTTTGACGCCACAAAATAAATTGCTTTTGAGAAATAAGATTAACAGTTTTTTCTGAGGCAAAATGGGCCTTTAAAACGATTTTTTAATAATAACATTATTGCCAGTAAAATATTAATATAATATTATAATATAATGGTATATATAGTAAATACCAAAGGATATGTTTTCGCTTAAGTCAAATATGGAACATATTTTCAAGTAGCATAAGACAATTTAATTTCATAGGTAGAATGTAACCTTGTTCAGTGGAAATATATTTACGATTCCACTGAAAACGAAACAATAACTTTTTAAACTTAATTTTACCTTGAAGTTCATGAAATGTTGTTTACGGATACACTCATCTGCTAAGCAATTACAACCGTACAGCGTGCAGAAATACATTGATTATTTATAGTTGCGTGGCACTATTCAATATACATTTTATAACAGCCAGACACCACGCCCATTTCGATATTTATTTCGCATTTTGACTTTTAAATGTATTTTAATATACTTTTACTTTATCTAATATGATATATATTTGGCTCATATAGCGCCATATGTCACCGGTAAAATTAAATAATTATTTTCAGATATTGTAAATAAAGTAGAATGACAGTGTGTAAACCTTAAACTCCTTATAAAACTGTTCGCAGTTGTTTTCCATTTTTTTGTAGATATAATCCCAAAACTCACAGATCTTTATACCGGAACACTCCCCAAAACTGTAATAGTCGTTCGAAACTGACTCATTTATGTTTGTTTCCGCAATTCCTTGATGAAAAGAAAACATACAAAAATCAATTAAACTATCAGATTAGTGACTTAAGCGTGTAATGAAATAAGTCCAAATGTTAGTTATATTATTTAAAGTTGATAAATGTAAGCACATTTGCACATATTCGTTTATTTTTTTTATTTTTATCGTCTTCGATAAGGAAAATAAATATCAGTTCTCTTACCATCAAATGACTTATTATCATTGCCGTACAAATTTGATTTTCGTGTTTCTTTAAGATTTGTTGTTTTGTCCTTATATGCGTTTCGTTTAGAATTTCTTTCTGATCTGTAAAATATTGAATTAAACTTGAAAATGAACAATCATTTTACAAGTAAAAACATTTTTTTAGTTCGTAAAATAAATATATGACCGACCATGTTGTTTTGCAGTGTACGATGAGCTTTGTACATAAAAATATAGGTTTCCATTAAAGAGTTCATATACATGTTAACAAGATTAATAATGGTTTCTTATTTTAATTGCATTGTGTATGTGAAGAGGTAACTCTGCCATGCATTTTGGCAGTACGGTCTTTTTTGGCAGTACGGAGTTTCTTCCCTTCAACGATTAGAATGTTATCTTTCCGTCTAAAAATGACTTCTTGTTATGACAGCTAAGGATTTATTCTTAATGATAACTATTTAAATGTTTCTTCTTGACTTTATCACACCACATTTGATTGCCCGGTTCATTTTGTGCTCCTGTCGAGTTCTTTTTGTTTGAATATATTGTATGTACTCCCTTTTTGTAAAGGATCATGTGTCATGTGTATCTGTAGGTCATTGTCAACTTACAGAATAACTGCATTTTTATTGCAGTTTATAAATTTTATATCAAGGCAGGAGAGAAATGGACATTACAACGATAACTATTATCATTACACTGTATACGATCTAAACATCAATTCTTTTCTTTCTTTGTCAATATTTGTATCCTCAATTGTTCAGCATAATTTAATATGTTAAATATAACAAGAGCGATCAATGATCACATAAAAATATGTCACCTAATGAAAGCTTGCATGTTGCAGCTAATGTGTAGCAGGAAACGCAAAAAAAAGCATTAACAGGGCAAAGCGCTTTTTTAAATCAGCCAAAAATCATTCAACCGTTAAACACGTGTAATATGCGCAAGAATTTGAGCTATCATTAGTGATATAAGAGAGTAGTCCGGACAAACTTTAAAAAAAAAAATCATAAAAGGGCCATAATTCTGGTCCAGACAAGTTTCTTTGTAGCTGGCAAACTAATTTTTTTGTTCTAGGGCCATATCTCGGCCACAACTAATTCAATTGTAAACTTTATCTGCAATTCCTAATATACAGAATCCTTTTTATTTATTTATCTGTAGTAGCAAGCATTATTTATAAATGGCAAAAGTTCCTACCTATCAGTCTGGTCCAAAAGACAACGTCAGCGTCTATGTAACATGATAGTATTCCATTCGAATTAGTGTCAGTGTAGATTCCTTTCAGTATATTTTTACGTCCTATCCAGAATGCTTTACAACATTTCTTTGTCTGTTTTTACTAAAACATGTTAAAACCCTGCATTTGACTCGGTCAAAATCTTTTACCTGAATCATATTAATGTATATTTAAGTTCTGATTCACCTTTCTAAACTGTATCATCTCTTTTTTTTTTCGAAGCACACGTGTAAACAAAGTAGTAATCGAGTACACAAATTTCATTCATAGCGTGTGATAGCGTAGTAAAAGCCATGTAACTCCATTCATAACGCATGTATTTATTTGAAATTTCACAGGTGACTAATCTTCGGCCAAAACAATGTGTATAGATATATATATAGACTGTGCATCCATAACTGTCATAATAGATTAGTAAATTCCAATTATATAGCCTGCGTATCCTCAAGTGTCACAGATTGGTAAATACAAAATTAAAATCTCATGTATGTACCAATATAGTTATAATAATTTTTGATCCATATACAATTAATATTGTCGTGAACATCTTGTATAATAGGACAATGTGTTTATGTTTTCCTATTATTGGTATTGTATATATATTACTTTCATTATTCTATGTCCCTTATCCTCTTTTCTTTCTCTATTTTTGTCACTTTTATCTACGGAGTACCTCACCCTACAAAATCTATAGTCCTGGAGTGACATAATTATCATTGATAGTCAAATAACACACAGGGTGAGGATAGGATCTTTCTGGTTCCATAATATTTCTTTTGGTGTTATTGTATTCCTGTCTTTTAAACTTTGGGCATATATTCTTCTGCAAAGATCAGGTGATATCCATACAAATCCCGGACCCGACTCAAATAGCTCTGAGTTTTCTTATTCTTCATCTTCTACATCAAGTGTAAATGATATCTTAGATAGCTTCAAAAATTCATTATCTTTGGTTCATTATAACGTACAGAGTTTTTTCCACAAAAGAGACATTTTACAAGGGGAATTACAGCACTTCGACGTCATCTCCTTTACAGAAACGTGGCTTAGCAACAATATAGAATCTGATTCGATCTCTTTTGAAAAATTTTCCTCACCTTTCAGAAAAGACAGGATTGTTGATAATCACGGTGGAATTCTGGTGTATGTCAAAAGTAATATTCCAGCCATAAGAAGGCAAGACCTTGAGATAAGTGGTGTTGAATGTGTTTGGGTAGAACTAAGAATTCATCATACAAAATTCCTCATTGGTACTTTTTATCGGCCTCCAAATTCACCTTCACACGTGCTATCAAATATTGAACGTTCAATTGACCTTGCCTTTGATACTGACATTAAAAACATAGTTGTTACAGGAGATCTTAATCTAGATTTATTAAAACCAGCAACATCTAAAAAATTGTTAGATTTAGCCACTCAGTATAATATGTCACAAATTATAAACGAACCAACACATTTTACCGAATCATCTTCTTCTCTTATCGACGTTTACCTTGTTTCTTCTGAGTGTAGTGTCAATACATCAGGTGTTGGTGACCCTTTTTCTTGATCAACAACAAAGATATCACTGTCCAGTTACTTCACTGCAACAAACCACATGCTAAATCATTTAAACGTCTTGTCTGGAAATATGACCAATGTAATTTTGACAATATGAGGCGTGATGCAGCTGCATATAACTGGGATTCTCTAGAAAATAATGATATTGATACCTATGCAAACAATATAACACAGACAATTATATCATTATCAAAGAAACACATCCCAAACAAAACAGTAACAATTAGACAATCAGATCCTCCATGGATGCATAACGAAATAAGAAAATGTATAAGAAAAAGGAAAAGAGCGTATGATAAAGCTAAAAAATCAAATAATGAAGAACACTGGAATAAATATAAAACATTAAGAAACAAAACAACTCACTTACTTAGAAATGCTAAATCTGAACATACCAAAAAACTGTCGGAAAAATTAAGAAATCAAAATCTAAACACATCAGATTACTGGAAAATCCTCAAACAATTTATTAGGCCAGCAGTAAATAGTAATGTTAAAATATTAAATGACAATGGCAACTTGTTGACATCTGACACTGAAAAGGCAAACTTACTAAATAATTTTTTCCAATTGCAATCCTCACTTGATGATAAGAATAAACCTGTCCCTAACTCTGATATTAATCATAATAATAATAACAATAATTATCTTGATATAATACATGTTACATATGAAGAGGTTCAGGACACTCTAAAAACACTAAGTGTAGGCAAAGCATCAGGGCCTGATAATATTAATAACAGAATTCTCAAGGAACTGTCAGGAGAACTTGCTGTACCTCTATGTCGTTTATTTAATAAATCAATTAGAACTTCAAAAGTCCCGTCACAATGGAAGCTTGCCAATGTCTGTGCAGTATATAAGAAAGGAGACCCAACAATTGTTTCTAACTATAGACCAATATCACTCCTTAGCACAGTTAGTAAAACTTTAGAAAAAATTATACACAAACACATTTTCAACTTCTTTGTCTCAAATAACACAATAACTGCATTGCAATCTGGTTTTGTTCCAAACGACTCTACGACTAATCAACTTGTCTCTATATATAACACATTTTGTAAAGCCCTTGATGATGGCAAAGAAGTAAGAGCTGTTTTCTGTGATATATCCAAAGCTTTTGATCGTGTTTGGCACAAAGGTCTCATTTTTAAGCTTGAGTCTACTGGAATAAATGGTGTGTTATTAAATTGGTTTCGCGATTATCTTTCTGAAAGAAAACAAAAAGTAGTTCTTCCTGGCGGCTCATCACAAATGGCTTCTATCACAGCTGGAGTGCCACAAGGGTCTATATTAGGTCCGCTTCTTTTCCTCATATATATCAACGATATTGTCCTTGACATAAATTCATATATCAGACTCTTTGCAGATGATAAAGTTTGTATATTATCGTTGACAATCCTACTACCGCTGCTGTAACACTTAACTTAGATCTCGAGAAAATTACTGAATGGGCAAACAGATGGCTTGTTAGTTTCAATCCAAATAAAACTGAATCTGTCATTTTTTCCCGTAAGGTTAATAGACCTGTTCATCTTCCCCTTTGTATGAACGGAATACAAATAAAGGAGGTGACCACTCACAAACATCTTGGAGTAACTTTTTCATCTGAAGGAATTTGGAATACCCATATACTGAATATATCACAAAAAGCATGGCAACGACTTAATAGTAGGAGGTCTTTAAAATTCATCACTGATCGCAGATCACTCGAAACTATATATCTTTCTTTCATCCGGCCTCTTCTTGAATACTCAGATATAGTCTGGGATAATATTACTCAACAAGATGAATTCGAGCTAGAAAAAATCCAACTTGAAGCCTGCAGAATTATAACTGGTACAACGAAACTTGTTTCTCTCTCAAATCTGTATGAAGACACTTGTTTTCAACCCTTAAAAGTAAGACGCTATAAACACAAACTAATTCTGCTATATAAAATGTTCAATCACCTATCTCCACAATATTTATCTTCCATAGTTCCAAACACAGTAGGACAAACTTCAGTATACAACTTACGAAATGCAAGTAACACTAGAAATATTTTCTGTCAAACTCAACTTTATTCAAATTCATTCTTACCATCTTCGATTAAAGACTGGAATGATCTCCCTGTCGAACTAAGAAATGCACCATCGCTTCCAATTTTCAAAAAAAGACTAAATGAAGATGTCCAAAAAGTTCCAGCTCACTATTATATAGGTGAAAGAAGATATCAAATAATACATACACGATTAAGAACACATTGCAGCTCTCTGAAAGAACATCTGTTTTCAAAAAACATAATAGATAGCCCTTTTTGTATATGTGGTGAAATAGAAAATACAGAACACTATTTCCTCCGCTGCCCCATGTATCAAGATGACCGCACTATCCTTATAAACAATTTAAGTCAAATCACAACTGTTACATTGAATAATTTACTATACGGCGATAATTCACTTACCGGTGCTCAAAACGAAACAATTATATCTCATATACATAAATACATACAAAAAACAAAAAGATTTGATACATAATAATATTCGTTTGAAAAGAAAAAGGTCCTCCAACTCCATAGTAGTAAAGTGACTTTCTTTCTCTTGTTCCTTATCTCTTCTTCTCTTCTATTATTACTTCTCCTCCAATGTACATGTTTTAATAATTAAATTTCTCAACATATTAGTTTAATTAACCAATCACTAAACTAAGCAATATATCCCTTTAAAAATGAATTCATACTCGTGCTTATACCTCTAATCTAACAGCAATGTATCTTAAAATTAGTTCATGAATACTTGACATAAACATAGTATGTATAGTAAGAAAGCAAGAACAAGTCGATATGATATGTATAGTTTAGTTTAGATATTTATATTTTGTTACCATTTTTTGAAATTTGTTAAATACTGATTACGGAGAGAGTTTTCAAAAAAGCTTTTCAAGCTTCCTACTCAATCCGTAACTTTTATTTTATGTAATTTATTATGTAAATGTGTGGTTTATAAATAAAATATTGTTTAAACTAACTAATTCAAGCCAAAATTCTGTGTATTATGTGCAAGTTTTTGAGCTACCGATCAGTCCTGTAAAGATTCATTGAATTGAATTAGTGGTATGAGAGAAGTAGTCATAACAATATTTATAAACACCTATTTAAGGGTCATAACTCGGCAAAGAATCATTCGACCAGTAAAACCCGTGTAATTTGCGCAAGTACTTGGGCTACCAATCAATCTTAAAAAGTTTCATTGATATTGCATCAGTGGTATAAAAAGAGTAGTCCGGACCGTACAAACTTTAAAAATAACACATCTCGAAAGGGCCATGACCCTGATAAAAATATCAAACGAGGAAAATGCCGATGATTTGTTCAACTACACTTGGTACTGATCATTCCTGTGAAGTTTGAGCGGAATTGTACCTGTAATTTTTGAGGACTAGTCCGGACTAGTTTTTTGACGGACGGGCAGATGGACCACCGTACAGACGACCGACGGCAAAGTGATCTCTATATGTCGCCAATACACTGTTGAGGTGTATTGGTGACACAGAAACTGACATGCGGACAATTGAATACGTTTCAAAATACCACCCGCATCTTTCAAAGAAAAAATCATAGCATATGCAACTTTTACATTTTTTAACGATTTCTAGATTGTATTTGTATGCATGTTTAGTGATGACTACATATTAAGACAACTAAATTATATCAAACATCAAACAAAACATACAAAATTGCTGAAATAATTTATACGAAAACTGTTAGTTCTGCAATTGTACTAACTTGTATTTTCAATCATAATCACACAGTGATAGTTTCAAAAAAGCTTTACAAGCTTCCTACTCAATCCGTAAATTTTATTTTATGTCCTTTTGCTTGTAAATGTATGGATTATAAACAAAATATGGTTTAAACTAAATATATTAACACAATATTTGTATTCGTTTCACTTACGCATTTCTTTTCTTATAAATGATGAATCCTATAATGACGCCTAATGCAATCACTATAACAGAGGCTGACACTCCCCCAGCAACTGCAGCAGTAGTTGAGGATGGTTGATCTTGTGACAAAGGTAGCACTTCTGGAAACAATAAAAAAAAACATCATGAAGGTGGTCAAGTATTCAAAATTGCCCATAACATAAGGCACTTTTACTGATAAATAAATATAAGCATAATTATTGAAAAGTGATCAGAAATAGCTTTTTTATAATGAACAAGTTAAACAGACGGAACGGAAAGGAAAAAAATAAAACGAAAACGCAAAACTGTTTTTTTCCCTTTTAGCGATTAGTTGTATTTAGTTCAAATCTTTGTTTACTACATGTCATTTAACATTTAAAACGGCTAGCTTTGTTATAATTTATGTTCTTGAACGACACATGCATTGATATCTACGATAAAACTCAATTATGTTAATGTTTTAGTACACCCTTTTAAAACTAACCAAGACCTCTTTGATATTAAGGGGCCTCAGTGGCCGAATGGTTATGCTTCCTGACAATTAATCACAAGCCTTTCACCGCTGTGGGCTACAATCCTGCCGATCGATTTTTTATGTTAAATGGTTGAATTCAGCCAACTTGCAGAATGCCACGTTTTTTTGTTCAGATGTCCCCTCGTGTTTAAATAATACACTGCGTGATTTCTGTATCAGGAAATCTTGAAAGTCGCCAAATGACCTTAAAAGTGCTGGTAATTTTAAAGTTTCCAAAATAAATATTGATAAATATCGACAAGTAAACACATAATGCAATTTAATTAATTTCAAATACCAATACTACAGTTATCGCCCTGCCATCCGCTTTGACATCCTCCGAGAAGACATTTGCCGTCTGTTGGACTGCAGTTTTCATCACGGTCACAGTGACATTTGTTGGAACAATTGTATCCAAATGTACCATTGCAAGCTTTAAAAAAGAAGTATTATTAAATATCAATTTTTTCTTAAATACTTTAAAATAATATATAATTTAAATATACTAATTAAAAATGTGAGAAGTTAGCAGTGAACACTGAGCTGAGTACGAAGCATTACAATTTAAATAGGAAATTTAATACCAATTAAAAAGCAAATTATCCCTTCAGTATTTTAGGTGAGAACAGCACAAACGAACACGATTTACAAGTATAACTTTATTTAAAGGAAACCCTTTTTGAATACGACTGTCTCGCACCGTAGCTGTTACATAACTATTAAAGGGTGGTTACAGAACATTTTCTAATCACACTTAATTTAACTGTAAAATGTTTTGTCCGTTCGTGATACGGTAATGTTGAAATAACATAAAATAGTATCAATTCTCAGGAGTGCTCGCAATGACAAAGAACGTGAAAGTATGCAAACAATGCATTGAGAGTCAGCACCGAAATAAATTTTAAGATCAAAATAAGGTATGTATTAATGCATTTACAGGAATAGAATCAACGTGGTCTAGCAGAAAAAGAAGCTACCTTGCAAGCAAACATGCAAACGTTTAAGATTTACCATCGTTACAACTGTCTCCATGCCAGCCCGCGTCACAAAGACTTCGATCACAGCTTCCATTAATATGATTACATCTTGAGTTGTCGATACAGTGGCAAATATCATTACAATTATCACCAAAATGAGGAAAGTTGCAGGCTTCAATGTGGAAATCATACAAACAATATTATAATGTGGTAATCGCAAGGATTCAATCAAACATCAAATAATTATATGTAATTCAGTGAAATAAAGCATATCACAAAGTTTTAGTTCTGTTTCATATAAAGATATACAGACAATGCACAACGTATTAAAACATATACATTAGCTTAGCGTGAATTGGTATCATTAGACTAGGTGAAGTATAAAAACTATATAATAAGGCGTAAATAAAAAACGTGTTTTAAGTACAGATTGAATGCTTGTCACTTCACATTATTTTTAATCTCTTCTTTTTTGTTAAATATTCCGTTTGCGCCAAAAGCAAAGTAACAACAAGCGTAATTACAATTAAAACTTAAATTGACATAAATGTGCGTTATTAGTTCAGTCATTTGATCATACTTAAAACGACGTCCAAGTGTATTGTTTTTTAGAAATAACATAAAAAGGATGAAATAATTTTCATATCTCCATATCAATTCAAATTGTATGCCATACATGTTAATGTAAACGCTTCTTTGGGATATGTTGACGTTAGGTTTTGGCTAGTAACTGTTCCGGTCATTAAGGTATCCTTTAGACATAATAAAGTGGTTAGATTTCCATAAATCCTAAGTATGTATAATGGTATTTAGGTCATTGTACAGACAAATACAAACATGTGATATGAATTTGATAATGCGAAATAGTGATGTCCCAATTGATAAACAAATCAAATAAAAATCAAATAAAACACTATTTCGTTTAAGCGCTGAAAGAAGTATGTGTAAGTACAGACAAACACACAAACACTTACGTTTTAAGTTTAGTTAAATATTGTTCAGACTATATTATGTACTTACAGATAACCTATGATATGACCTATGATATGATTTAAATATAGCAGCTAGCAAAGCCTCTGAAAGCTAAATAACATCATTATGTTATTCCCAAAGAGAAATAATTCTGGGTACAGTGGTTAAAGTCAATTACTTATCACTAGACTCGAAGTAATTGAAGTGAGTTAAACATATGTTTAGATATTCATATTAAACACGCAGGATCAATTTTAAAGTGTAATACCTTGATCGCAACTTAGGTCTTGCCAACCAGGATCGCATGTACCTGATAAACATTTTCCTGTGATGGGATCACAACTGGAGTTCCTAAGGCAATAGCAGCTTGATGAGCAATTCAAGCCAAAAGATCTATGCTTGCAGACTTCATGCCAAGTTAAAGAAGAAAGTTTCAATTAATTGCTGTTAAGGCGTCACTTATTGAAAACAATAACATGACAAAATATCTCTTTAAAACACTTCTTTTGTATCAATTATTTCTAAGTGCCAGATATCAAATGCACGCAATGAGTATACTGGCAGAACTAACCTTATTTTATATTTTGATTTGTACGATCTTATTTCGTGTAACCATAATGCACTGCACTGATACTGATACATACTATTGTCAAACATGTTTTGTTATTGTCTAAGCCGTATTGAGTTTCATTAGGCTGCCGTCATAATAAAAGATAAAATCATTAAAATCTTACGATTAAGATAAACGTAATAGCGAAGACAGATACAGCTTTAACAAGAATCACCAAAGTGTAAAATTTAGTTGTGTTATGACAAAATGCGTTTTCTGGTAATTGAGTTACTTTTCGCATTTCGATTTCGATGTCATTTAATCTTTATCCCATAAAGTGCTACAGGGTTTGCACTTACATAAACAGTATGACCTTGTATGTTGTAATTAAGTTTGTCACCACACTTAAGTGAAATTTTATATATGTACAGTAGGGTGAACGTGTCAGTTTACACGCAAAACGCACGTTACACGCTATACGAACGCACGTTACACGCTATACGAACGCACGATATACGCACGCAAAACGAAACGAAATACGCAGACGCACGCAAAACGATTAACGCTAAACGAAATACGCTAAACGATATACGCACGCTAAAACGCACGCAAAATGAAAACGTTTCTAAACCTTTATTAAAACATCGTAATCATTTTAGGTTTTTAACAACTTTAGCTACATGTAGATCGTTTAGCGATAAATTTTGATTATCATAAAATTATATAGATCTACTGCAGTATGGTAGCTAGAAATGTATTTTAAACGAGTTTATGTAAGAACTGAAATGCACTCAACCTACATGTAGCACCGAAATTAATTTTTGTCACAGCCTCAACAATGATTTTTAGAAATATTTATAAGCTATCGTGCGCTAATATCGAAAGTAAAATAGTTAGGATAACGTGTTCCTTTTATGCGCAATCAAATAAAGAACTATCCCTTGCATTCACTACGTAATCTCTACGTAATAGTCCAACATGGCCGACATTGAATTATGCATTGCAAATTTTTATAAATATACAGTGCAACAATTAAATTCAGATGGATTTATGAGGCATATCTATATATTAAGTGAGGCTGCATCATAAACAATCGAACTATATAATCTTGAGTGTAAAATAAAGGAATAAACTATTTTGACAGAAGTCACGAAAACAGATTAAAAACACAGGATTCTACCACGGATAACATTAAGGGAAATGGATAACATTAAGGGAAAAGCTTCCAGAATCAGGAATGATTAAATTGCTGGCACAATACGTAGATTTAAGTTGATGTCCTGTATGTTTCATTAGGACACCGCATGATTTTTCTTGTCTTGTCGCCAGTAAAATCTTCTCAAAACGAAAGTGAAAGTAGAAATAAACAGTCTACGGAAATCCAGTGAAATCACAAAAAAGGTAAAATTTCTAGGGCATTACAATATATGAGTATATATAAATATTAAGAACGCAATTTTATTTTAGGTCTGAAACAGTAGTCGAGAGTAAAAAAAATGAGGAAAATAAGGAAACCGGTTGTGATGTAAAGTTATTGGATTTACAAAGACAGCGCAACGGAAATTATTTTTCATATCACTTAAAATTGAAATTTATTGACGTCCGCTTAATATGTATTAAAAAGAGGATATTGAATGAGTGTAAGTTCAATGCTGAATTTATTGCACGAGTTGAATAAAATTATATTATGCGACCTCTAGCTGGTGAGCATAATATTTACTTTATTCAATGAGTGCAATAAATTCAGTAATGAACATACACAAATTTAATATAATATTCTATTTAACACATACTTAAAATAAAGACTGTTTAAAGTGAAATCAGAGTCATTTTTCTTTGACGCGCCTTTAGTTTAACGCTAACATTTAGCATATCTTTACACTATGTTTGTATAACGCTAATGACGTGACGTCACGTCGAAATATATGCACGACCATACAATGCCATATTTACGGAGTCGCAAAATCGGCACTGGTGTGTGATAATATAATGCTTTATCACACACCGGTGCCAATTTTGCCACACCGTAAATAGGGTATTGCACATCTGTGCATATAATTGACATGACGTCATTAGCGTTATACAAACATTGTGTAAAGACACACTTTAAATATGCAGCCTGACTGGGACTTGAGCCCGGGACCCCTTGAATACAGTGGCGAAGCTGACTACTGGCTTGAAGCTATCAGTCCGCTTGCATACTCCTCCCGTCAATAGTGAACAGTTCTTAGCTGTAGAAATGAAAAAATCAGTTTTACAGTATCCTTTTTGTGATTCCATATACCTATACCATGCCAGTAATGGTCCCCTGACAGGGAAGGGAACACTTCCTTACTGATAGTGGATCTGAACACCTCAGTGTCTGCATTATAGGACATTTGCCATACCTTTTTTATTTTTTAATGAAATTTGGTGGATTTTTTTCCATATCAATCAAACAGATGTAATTGTTACTCAATATTATAGTAATATGTTGCCTTACTAACTTTGTTTCATTTCCTAGGAGGTTATAATAAGGTAAAATTACCCCCATTTTTAAAGATGTAATGTATTTGCTTGAACAAATAGGCATCATAGAAAATTTACCCTATCTTTCTTCATTGTCAATATAATTCAATGGGGTTTTCTTATTTTAGTCAATTAGATGTAGTTGTACTTGATAGTATAACATTATTTGGCTTTCCTTGACCAGAAGTTTATAAATAGGTAAACTTACCCAAATTTTCAATGATTTAGTGTGGTAAAGTTATTAATAAGGCATTATAGAAAGTTAGCCATTATTTCTTAATTTTCAATGAAATTTTTTGGGATTTTCTTATATAAGTCAATTTGATGTAGGTATTACTTAATATAATAATACTATGTTGCTTAACTAACTTTGATTCATTTACCATGAGGTTATAATCAGGTAATATTACTCCCATTTTTAATGAATTAGTGTGTAAGCTTGTATAGTTATACATAATAGGAAATAAGCCATATTTTTTTTAATATTAAATGTAATTTATTGAGATATTCTTACTTTAATCAATTAGATATGCTTGTTAATTAATATAATAGATTTATGTTGCACTTATAATTCTGTTTCATATCCTAGGCTGTTATAATAAGGTAAAAATCCCCATTTTGTAGTGAATTAGTGTTCTATTCTTAAGACAGTAAGGTATCTCAGGAAATTTGCAATAACTCTTATATTTTGTAATGAAATTTGGTGGGACTACCTTACTTGAGTCAATTAGATACATTTGTTAATTAATATGATAGATTAATGTTCCTCTTATAGCTTTGTTTAAATTCTAAGGCTCTTATAATTAGGTAAAATTTTCATATTTTGTTGTGATTTAGTGCATTTTCTAGGACATTTAGGCATCTTAGGAGATTTGCCATAATTCTCATATTTTGAAATGAAATTTGTTAGGACTACCTTATCTTAGTCAATTAAATATGTTTGTATATTAATATAAAAGATTTATGTTATATAAAAAATTCTGTATCATTTCCTAAGAGGTTAAGTTTAAGGTAAAATTACCCAGTGTATCAACATTTTATGTGGCACTGCTTTCTTTAATAGTTGGGGTCCACATGGAATTTACTATAACATTTATATTTTTAATGGACAATTATTGAAATCTTCTTTTTTAAGTCATCTAATTAAAGCTTTTAATTAATAAAGTTTATTTGGATTGAGTTATTAATTACATTACTTTTCATAGGGATCTTGTATTAAGCTCTTTTTAATGGACTGACCTACCTATGAAGCATAAAATTGATATTGTAGGAAAATTAAAATTACCATCAATTGAAATTGTACAGGTCCCAAAAGATATAAGTATGCAAAATGAGTTTTTGTAAATTTAAATAAATACATAGGTGATATTTAAGTATATTATAGTTAGAATTTTATCAGTTTTGAGGTTATAACTTACATGTAACTTGAGGGAAGTTAAACAAGTGACTTGGGACTACAGCATACCTAGCTGAGAAAAATCTTCAAAGAATTATATGGTTATATATGGATAGGTTATATACTTTTAAGTTAGCAAAGGGCGACACAGGCACTGGTTACGGATTGATAAATCTTTAAAGTGATTTTAGATAATATATAGAATAAAAATAAAAAAAAAGCTATATATGTTTATCAAAGTGGGTTATAATATGGACCTCATATAAGATTAAGATATATTTGAGCAGGGTCATGATAAAACCAACATAGTAGGTTTGCGACCAGCATTGATCCAGACCAGCCTGCGCATCTATTCGCTAACAGTGTCTCTACTTGTTATACGGTTTGTAAGTGAACAGCATGGATCCTGATCAGACTGCGCGGATATGCAGGCTGGTCTGGATCCATGCTGGTCGCCATACCACTATGTTGGTTTTGTCGTGACGCGGCTTATTTAACTTTTAACATGTAAACACTGAACTGGATCGGGAAACAAGGATTGACAATTTTATTAAGATTGCTAAAATAATAATTGTAACTGTTTTTTTTTGTACATAATAGGAATATTGCTATATCATTGTATTCTCTTTGTTTGATTGGACTGGTTGAAATTCATAGAAATCCCTAATCAAGGTATCATTATTTAACAAAACATATATTTATTAAATATCACAAGTAATAACAATACATCAATATGACTGTCAGACAGATCTTGAAACAAAATAAAGGGCTTTAAAAGCCCAGGCCACATACAAAAATAGTAGTCTATGCTTTGATAATGAGCTGACAGATAGGGGAATTTTGTAAAGGGTGGCTTAGCCTGTCTGTTGTGATAACATGTCTAAAAAGTACATCATGGTATATTTTAGCCACCATAAAATTTATCTAGAAAAAAATCTAGCTATTTTTATTTGTACAAAAATATAGAAATAATACAATGTATAATTAGTAAAATGTTCACTATACATGTACAAATAATGAAACTATTAACAAATGTCGGTACAGCCGCGGTACGGTATTTAGAGGGTCACGGGTTCGAGTCCATGTCAGGATGCACTTTTTTCTCACCCTGTGACTGATATAACATTTGTATAGCCCAGGTAGAAATTTAATCACAATGCTAAGTAACCCTGGGAAATTCGAAGAAATATTTGCATACACAGTAGGTTTATAAGTTATAACGATTCAGTAGTTTAACAAGTAAAACGTGTAAGCGGCCGAATAGCTCGGAGGAACTCAAGAGCCGCGGAATGGTATTCCGAGTGTCAGGGGTTCGAGTCCCTGCCAGGCTGTTACATATCAATATAAATCTGTCAAGAAAAATAGGGAGGAACTGTCTAAAATAATTATCACCCTAAATAGGATTCGGATCGGGTTCGGACAGTCTTTGATGAAAAGTCAGAAGATGAACTTGTAAAGGGGGTGGGGTGCTAGTCTGATTACCATCATTTGATGTCTGACGAACTTCATATCTAATATATATTGGTACGCATATAAACACCTGTTTGCTGAATTTAATATCAAAAATGTTGCAATTAATTAGTAACTTATATGCGTATGTAAACTAGGATTAAAACTAATTAATCTTCGGCGTAAAGCATGTAGAAATCTGACCAGTATTCACCGCGAGGTCACAAACTTTAAAACTTTAATGTAAACATCACAATAATACTTCTTTATATAATATTTCTATTCTTTGACAGGGACACAGAACATCTCTTACATGTTTAAGAAACAAGAAATTTACATAATATATCTATCTAAGATATTCTTTTACTTCTAAATAGTAACAGACGCAAAACACGGTACTTAAGCGCTTAGACGAACGCAGACGCACGCTAAATAAGAAACGCACGCTTTCAGACGCACGATAAACGAAAAACGATACACGGAAAACGAAAAACGTTAAACGCTTGAAAACGATGCACGCTTGAGAAAGCGTTTCAGCAAACGCACGTTGCACGCTATACGCACGCACGTTACACGAAAAACGGACGCACGAAAAACGCTATTTTTGACAACCGAAACGTTCACCCTACTGTATATACATAGAGGATATTCAAGTTTTGTCTATAAATACATGATTTATTTTCATCGAGTGGTATGAAAATAAATATTTCATGAGTGGCGGTAGCCACGAGTGAAATATGGTAATTTTCATGCCACAAGATGAAAATAAATCGTGTATTTATAGAAAAAACTTGAATTTTCTGTTTATTATATACATTTTTCTCTTTTTTGACATTAAAATTTGAAAGACTTTCCCTTAAATTTTGTGTACTGGCAGAATTTAAAAGAAAGTAGTCCGGCAAGACACCAGTGAAAATACGGAAAATATGTTTCACTGCAGTGAAAAATAAATTTTATGCAGTGAAAATACGGAAAATGTAAATATGCACATTTTATTTAATCAATATTTCTCAATATTTCATTTGTAAGTATATAATAATCGTAATTATGCTTCTTAAACAATTTTCAAACATAAAAAAAATATGTAAAATATAGACTGCAAAATTTTGTCCACATTATATGTAATAATTAAAATAATTTCATTCATTTTTTATTGAAAAAATGACTTAGACTTTATAGAACATGAAATTCTAATAACCGCCCTTTATTAACATGAAATGTAAATTCAGCAGTAATATTACAAATAATGCTTTATGGAACTTACAATATTGATAAATCTTCATTCAAGCATTATATTTATGATATAAAAAATAAGAATTGAGTTACGGCATGAGTCCTCAAACTTTATAACTGTTGCACTATCACAAATCCATGCTCTTAGCTTTAAACATACAAAACTGGGTGAATTACTGTCTATACAAAATTCAAGGAAAATTAATCGGAGAAAAACACCGCAACAACCATTTTTTTACATACACATTAGGTGATATTATTTGTTGAATATAAACATTTGTTTGTACCTTTGTCACATCTGAGGCCAAGCCAGCCTGGGTCGCATAAACCAGTCTTACAATGTCCAGATGTAGCATTACAACTTGTATTATTACGACAGTTACATACAGATGAACAGTTAATACCAAATCGTCGATGGTCACAAAGTTGAAACACAAGACTAATGATATAACCATAAGTTTTAAACCAGCAGTACTAGCTTATTTACTTTTGTATAATATGATCTAAATAGCGTGTATGCAAAGCTTCACTTGCACTAATATAAACTGCATGATCTTAGCATTAAGTGTACAAAAGTATGAATTACTGTATACATTAAAATTGGCACCAAACCAATCGAAGAAAAAACATACCAACAAGATATTTGTACAAAAAACATTAGGTTATTCTATTGTGGAATAAAAGTTTGTTTGTACCTTTGTCACAGTTTTTGCCAAGCCAGCCTGGGTCACATAAACCAGTGTTGCATTGTCCATTCGTAGCAGTACAACTTGTATTATCACGGCAATTACATACAGATGAACAGTTTATACCAAATCGTCGATGGTCACAAACTTAATAAGTAAAAGCCATAATAATTATGGTCTAACCAAAGATTGGAGGTGTTCAAACTAGCATTTCTAATGATAAACATAGCGTGTATGCAAAACTAATCAATTTTTACTTGCACTAACATCAACTGCATGATCTAAGCTTAAAATCTATAAACATGTGAATTACTTCTTACATTAAAATAAAAGGAAAAAACAATTGAAGGAAAAACACACCAACAACATATACATGTATGTACAAATACATTAGACTATTTTTATTGTGGAATAAAACTTTGTTTGTACCTTTGTCACAGCTGTTGCCAAGCCAGCCTGGGTCACATAAACCAGTGTTGCATTGTCCAGTCGTAGCATTACAACTTGTATTATCACGACAATTACATACAGATGAACAGTTTATACCAAATCGTCGATGGTCACAAACTTAATAAGGAATATCCATAAGAATTATAATCTTACCCTAGATTGGAGGTGTTCAAACTAGCATTTCTAATGATAAACATAGCGTGTATGCAAAACTAATCAATTTTTACTTGCACTAACTTCAACTGCATGATCTAAGCTTAAAATCTATAAACATGTGAATTACTTCTTACATTAAAATAAAAGGAAAAAACAATTGAAGGAAAAACACACCAACAACATATACATGTATGTACAAATACATTAGACTATTTTTATTGTGGAATAAAACTTTGTTTGTACCTTTATCACAGCTGTTGCCAAGCCAGCCTGGGTCACATAAACCAGTGTTGCATTGTCCAGTCGTAGCATTACAACTTGTATTATCACGACAATTACATACAGATGAACAGTTTATACCAAATCGTCGATGGTCACAAACTTAATAAGGAAAAGTCATAATAATCATGGTATAACCGCTCAATCTAGCAGTTTTAACTAATTTACAAATCTATGATACGATAAAATAACGTGTATGCTCCTCAAACTTGATTAATACCAAAGAGAAATAATGCTAGATTGTGTGGTTCAAGTAAAATGCTTATGGGAGTGCTTGTAAGAAGTTTGGCACGGAAAGATGAATAAAACTATGAGCCACAACTCCCTCAAGAATCCCAGTAGGGAATGTTAGTCTACAGAAGATCACTTGTCGCTAAAAGGTTGAACGGAAGGACACTAAAAATATTTCACCATTTGTTTAGTTAAACTTAAATATATATTACTATTGATGTTCAAACCAAGGATATATCATTAATTTTAAAACCTTAATCAAAACTAGGACTATGTTTGCCACGACCGCATACACTTCCGGATATTGGATCAAAACACGATAGATATGCCTCGACAAACAGAGACTTACTCCTTCATGTAAAAGCTTCTCAGTAAGTATTTAGTAGGCGTTCAGGCGAATATAACTTAACTACAGCCCAGGGAACCTCAGTTGTTTTATAGGTCTGTTCTGAAGGAAACATACTCATGAAGTGATGTAGAATTCTATGTTTTAATTATAATAATGATACCTCATTAGGCATAAGCCTAACATTATATTTCAAATTAATATACTGTTATAATTCAAACAGATTAATAAAATTGAAGCAATTCAAGTCCGCATAAAATCATTTATAATCGCTTTTAAAGTAAATCTAGAACAATGTCTACTATTTGGTTGCATTACTTTTGTAAAACTAGGGCTTTTCTGACAAGAGTTGCACAAATGATTTTAAGTGTATAAAGCTATATGTCTGCTGCAAAAGTATAGTTTTAATTTTGAAAAATGATATTTTAATTATACCTGTCTGAAGGAAATACGTTTTCTTAAGTGCAAATTGGGCATGCACAAACTTATTGCTGAATAATTAAACCCTACATGACATATCAGCATTCTTTTTTTTCTCGGAACATTTCAATCTATTTACAAACAGTATTTATTATTGTATGTAAAATAACAGAAAATTCAATGTATCATCTCCTTTAAGAATCGACTATAAGTTTATTTGAACAACATAATTTTATTGTTAATAAATTTTATAAAGGTATTTTATACTATATAGCTTTATACCCTTTAAGAAATGCCCGTTTTTATTGGTTCAGTTGGTGTCACTGCGACAGTGGCAAATCACATTGGTATGTTTGTGACTGTTTTATAAACAAAATTGAAATCAATCAATTACTGTACTAAGATTGTGTATGCCAATTGAACATTTACGTCCAGTTTAATTTTCGTGAGATACATTTGAGATTGCCATAACAAACCCAGAAATATATATAAATTATAGCTAACACATTCAACTGAAAGATGGTAATTCTACATGTTTACGTTTGATATGAAAAAGTATCAAACAATTTTGTGAACTGATAAGATAATCCAAATTACGTTTTGTCTTCTCCCAAAAATATTCAGTATCCTGGAAATTGTCACAGACAAATTGTTTCAGTATTTTTATATGAGCTTTACGTAACAAAAAATGCTAGGATATGTTTGAAAAGTAAGAGAGATACGACATGTACAATTGAGAAGAATAATCATAGATAAATAGAGTCTATCATTGGGGTACATAGACGATAGGGAAATCCCATTCCGGGGGTGATCGGTTTAATCGGGAACGAGCCTTAGCGATTATTTTTCTTACTAACTGGGACATATAAATATCAATGAATCTACTTCCTATGCGCATTACAGGTGAAGCGGGGCTTAGGCACCTGGCTTTCTATGGTTGACAAAAACCATTTTACTGTCCACAAACAATCGACTGATCCAGTTTATGTGTCGAAATATTCAATGAAATAAATTCAGATGAGATTCGTATCCAAAACGAAAGGATATCATGATACAAATGTACAATACTTCAATATTTAAAGTGGAAAATGTCGTAATATTAGTGTTTATAAGGAATTCAGTTCATATATCAATGGTTGACAAAAAGCGTTTTACCGTTGGCGAAAATTGTTCTACTGATTCAGTTATTTTGACCAAATATTCAATTAAAATACATAGTGACTACATTAAAGTGAGATTTGTCTTCAAGAATCAACGTTATCATTAAAGAAAACATGGATGATTTCCAGGCAAAGTGTCATAATATCCGATTTTATTTCTCACAAACCGGATGTTTCTACCCGGTAAGTGAGAAAATTAGTTTAAATGCTATCAGTATATTTATTTACCGTTATTACAACTTTCCCCTTGCCAGCCAGCTTCACATAATTTGATATCACATTTTCCATCACGGTGATCACATTCAGAATTGTTTAAACAGTGACAAGTGTCTCTACAGTTATCTCCAAAATGTGGAAAGCTGCAAGCTTAAATGTTATAATGTTACAATATGATGTTAGATAATATGAGATGATTATGATGAATATATCTAAGCGGAATATAATATTGAAATGAACCCAACTACTAAATAACTATTATCTACTGATTTTCTGTCTCAACATCAAAATCCTAACAAGTCAATATTCAATGTAATGAATTTATGTTAAAGGCAGTTAATCAGTTTTGACTCTGGAAAGTGTATCTAAAGAACATTAGTCTGTTGATGTTTTTGTTGTTGTTGTTGTTGTTTTAATTTTCATTTATTTTATTAAAGGTTTTAAAGTTCATGAACATTTTATCAAAGAAGAGAAAGAGTAATATTATTCATAGTTAATCATCTCTTAATATGAAAAAAGAGGTTAATGTCAAGACAGTTGTATTCTAGCTAGATTTAAACTTGCATAATAGAAAAACTATAACTTTTATAAACAATTACCTTTACTACAATTTGATAGTTCCCATCCCGGATCACAATGGGAGTTATTGCATTCTCCCGAATCTTTTGCACATGATCCATCAGAAAAACAATGACACTGGTATTTACAGTCTGGTCCAAAATGTTGATGGCCACAGGCTTCAGTAAAATTAAAATACGAAAGTAATTATATTGTGTATATTGTCAGACACATACCTAATTAGTGTTTTTCTTACAATAACCACGATGTATGATTTGTTTTACCGTTTGTAATTTAAGTAAAATAATTTCATCTTGTACTTTGTTTTCATAATCTTTAAGTATGGCCGTATCTCATTCTGTGATATTCTATTATATTCTTTAAGTTAGTAATCACACCTTCCTTTCATTACATTTTGTATGTAAAAACAAGACTTAAATCTTACCGTTATGATGAATGCTACATTTATTTTTGATACAAGAAAACACAATGAAAGTACTGGAGTTAACAAATTATTATATAGTCACAATATCATCTCTTAAATACGTGTAAAAGTAAATTTTAAACTGAATCATTTTACATTTTAAACTGAATCATTTTACATTTCCCAAGAAGCAAGAAATGTATCATACATTAAGAACAAACACAACTAGCAAACTGAAATGCATCCTTACTTCGGAATTTTCCAATAACTATTCGCATGTAGTTCGCTAAATAAAAAAGGTAAATTGGTCGTAGCACAATTGCCTTTCTTCAACAGTTCAAATGCATTTACCAGCACCAGCCCAGATAAATTATCACATTAAAGTCTGTAGAAAGTTTTGATACCTCTTTAACTCATTATGACACATTCACGAAATCTGAGTGTTAATAAGTATTATTTATATGCCACTTTGCACTTACATTTATTACAAGCTGCTCCTTCCCAGCCAGGTAAACATCCTTTACTAATACAGGTTCCTTTGACTTTGTCGCAATTCAGCTTGTCAGCACATTTACACGGATTAGAACATCTATCTCCAAATGTTCCAACTGGGCATTCTGATATGACATTAAAATGTTGTGATCTTACATAAATGTATCATTAAGAATTTGTTTTACTCCCTTAACCGTTCTTTGATTGATCATTTTCAAATATTAAATTCACAGAAAATTCATTTTAATTATATTGTGTAGAGAGCTATGCTTTATTAAAGCACTCTCATTTCTGGAAACAAGATATTACTATTAAGGTTCTTGCTCAAATAAACAGAGGCTTGTCCCTGGCAGTGACGGACCTCAACATGCTAGCAATTCTAACGGATAACTTGTCCGACATGTTTACCTCTCAACCGCGCAACTAAAAAGTTCTATACTTTACTGACAGAAATAGTTTTATTACTGACGGGGTTGCGGAAAATGTATTTGAAGAGATACCAGTGTAATTTTATGTTAAGCGTATCTATTACACTTGGTTTATACATGGTTATTTACCTGCTTCGTATAGTTTGACTTCGCATAGTGTTAAAACAGTGTCCTGTTTTTGAATCTTAAGGTATCGAAATAATCGCGGCTTCACGAGTTCCTTCAGAAATACATGTCCTTTAGAAGCGTTGATCGATAGCATCGTACCTGTCTGGTTGATCTCCATTGAAATATTGTTAATGTAGCCAGTTATGTTTTGACTTTGTTCGGGTTGATCTGAAAATGTTTTCAAACTTTCAATTACCAATATGCTTAAAGTTTATAGATTCAAATTCACCTTTGTATAGAATCATCATGAAAAAACAATATTTTCATAGATGGACAATAATTGTATTTTGATAACTAATGTATAATAAAATGCTTTAAATTAACAGATATATGATTCAGTAAGACGATCAACAAATGTCAGGGACGTGATGATAAGCAAATAACGGTTTAAAGTTAAATTTATATACCAAATACCAACAGTCAATATTTGAAATTTACAATAAAACATAGGATATCTATTAACACAATTTCTCTTTGTTAAGCAATTCTGTGTCAAAATTGCCCAATGACTTAACGAAATTATGCTCTAAATACTTGCTAGGTCGGCCAAATATTTTAATGAACTTCACAAGAAACATCGACCCTAAGTCCAACTGCCACCATGAAAACTGAACACTGTTATCGTTTTGTGCCACACTGCAAGCCGCACATAAATTCACATCATTTAATGGATTAACTGGTGCATCTATACCGTCAATTGCACGGTTGGCGCTACAGTTGCTGTACATCCTTGACTGTAGTGCTGTTGCAGAGGTTGTATTGCGCCGAAGGATGTTAAGATCTAAAATATTTGTAATTCAGAGGATAGTTTATCATAACCATTTTTACGTGAAACTGAGATGATATTAAAGATACAAAAACGTGTTGCGAAATACGATGAATGCAGATGGACTATATTACATATTTTGTTTTGATTATCAAACAGTTGATCATAGAATAGCTACATGACAAGCACAATTGTACGTTTAGTAAGACCTGATAGTCGGAGGTTGAAGAGGGGTTGTTTATTGTTGGTTTATGGGTATGAAAACTATGTTGGATACAAATGATTTTGTAAGATAAGATTAAGTTGTAACACATACTGCCTATGACAAATGTGCAAAAAGTCAAATAAGGGAGAATTTTTTTTTACTGTTTTCATAATTTTTCTTTCAATTTTGAAATGTCACAATTATTATTTACTAAGATATTAAAAGTTTAATTTATTTATATACTTTAATATTCCATGATACGGACAATAACGAATACAAAGTTATTCGAGTCTCAAAAATCCTACTCCATAAAACACATGTTTGCATCAATTAAGTAGCAGTTCGATTTTGAGTAGTATTGATATATTCTCGTCCCTTGTACTATTCTAGTAATTTAAATACATTGCAAATATATTTCATAAATTGCATTTTTATAGTGATATTAAGAATGTCGCTATATAACTTAATATGCGATAAAACCTCTACATTATTGTGTCTTTTGTAATTCAAATTAGACCGGTTTACACTGTCTTTTGACGTTTTATCTGTGATATGCTTGCTTCATAATCTCTGATCCCCTTTCAAAATTCCATTTTATTTAGTTCTGCCAATTGTTTTCTCGTTTAGGGCACACGCATTTTTTATTACTTGGGGACCATATGCCTTTCATGGAATGGCACTTACGTGTCACATTGAAGGTTCCATGATAACCGCCATATGAACACATCCGCGGATGTTTTTAAAATTCAAAATTGTACCAATTCATGTTAAATGTTAAATTCTGCTTAAGCCGGTAATTGGGGGCGTAAACGGTAGTTTGCACTTGACAGTGCCGTCCATGAACATGCTCAATCCAACCGAGCCTGCAACAGTTTTAATTTTGTCGTGTTGGGCTTTCTTAAGGTATTAATATTTTCTCTATTTAAAATTTAGACGTTCACAATGGTGGAAATACTGACAAATCAATAAAAATGAAAGGACTAGGTACAGTCTTATTTATGAAACAAAATATTCTAAAAGTTTAAAGTCTATATGCAAACTTGGTCAATAAACTACAAAATGTTCTCACTCATCATTACTTTTTAATATTTCTATATAAACTTGACAATTATAAATGAGCTATCATAAAATAACTGAAAGGAAAAACTGTCAAGAAGTCATATTTTGATGCTTGAGGATTGAATGCATTTATCTGGGGTTTAGATACTGTGATGAGAGGGACTATGATACAAAAGGAAAGAACAAGAAAACACTCTGTACACCATCCCCTTGATCGAATTAGATAACTTCGTGTTTCGGTATTTTTTATTTCACATAAATTATAGATATTGTTCTGACGTACCTTACATACTTGAAATATCTTAGATTTGATAATCATATACCTATACTGCAATTGAAACCTGCCCAACCGATGTCACAATCATTTGAACAATTTCCTTGAAACATATCACACTGTAAATTGCCTGAGCAGTGACACGGATTGGCACAATTTGGTCCAAATGTGCTGTTTGTGCAATCTGTAAAATACAAAATAAAGTAAGTACAGATACAACCTTAACACCTTACGCTACAAAGTGATCAAGTACAATAATGAACATATTATTTAAATAGGCTTAAACATGAACATATTTTTTAATGAAACTGCAATTGGCAGAACTTAGATATTTGGCAGTTAGCATCACGTTGATGACATCATCAAAAGTTAAATAAATCATAGCCCTTGTGTCGAAATTGGCCCTGCCATGGGGGCCACTAAGTTAATATAGACGTAAATCTTTTTTTCCGCAAAACTTCTATGTTTGGCATGTGACATTAGTGTTTTGATGTCATACATACGGTATATAAGTCATTACGCCTGAAGTGAAAAGGACCCTGCCATATGTGTCTGAAAAATGTATGGTAAATATGTTTCACAAATCTCCTTCGCAGAAAGTACGGAGCCCGGAACTGAAATTTTGTCCATTTAGAATCATATGTGCGTCCGCTATAACAATTATATAATTTATGCATATGGGTAGAAATTGCCCGCCCCACCCTCTGGTCACATAATCAATATAGATTGTTTTAAGTCTTCTATTGTGAAACGACAGACAGACGGACAAACAGACGGAAAAATGATTTCTATATGTCGCCGCTACTATGTGCTCTGTAGCAGGCGGCACAAAAAGAGGTAAATGCAGCTTTTACAAATGAAATATACAATTACACTTATACAATAAACAGCTAAAAATACTTGTTAATGGAAATAAATCGTGAAGAAAACTAGATAACTTACAAGGATTATTGATTTTCTTTACAACTTACATCCAGAAAAGAAACATGAAGGAATAACATTAGCTCACAAGACCCGTGATATTTAGTTGCTTAAAATGAGTTTGCATATAATGACACCATTATAACTCAAACAGTTTGAATAGTTGTTTGAACACAACAAAACGATTGCTATAGGGGAACTGGCCAAAAGTTCAACGGCATGTTGCGCCCTACGTATATAGCAAAAAGAATAAGCCACTAACTTGTTTCACACAAAGTACCATTG